GAAATACAACCCGACACAGCCCAAACCGGGGTGTCACAAGTCACGAGCATCTATTAGAGTATAAATACAACTACAAGGTCTGAAATATACGAAACAGGACTGATAAACAAAGGGAGAAAAAGCGATGCTGCGAACGCTGGCAGTCACCTTGCTAACTCCGATAACTCTGCCCCCGCTCAGTCAAAACCCACTATCGGGTACAAAAATACCTGCATCCACACACGGTGCAGGGAGTAAAGTGAGTACTCCAACTCAGTGAGTAATAATGGTAAATAACANGATAAGCACCGAAAATCCGCCCCTCGGGCACAAATACCACAGTATAACAGGTAAAATGACCAGTAAATATGAAAGATGAACACATAAAGGTCCGCCCCTCGGGCACATATCTCAGAACAATACCAGCTCCTCGGGCTCACTCTCAGCGTATCAGCCCCTCGGGCTCACTCTTAGAACACTCTCAGCCCCTCGGGCTCACTCTCAGAACAATGGGTACCCGCGCTCACTGTGGGTGTGCAGATTCCGGAGGGGCCCCTTACGGCCCAAGCGCTATATCAAGCCACCTCGTGGCATCATCTCTCGTCACTCGGCCTCACATCACTCGGCACTCGGCCTCACATCACTCAAGCCACCTCGTGGCGTATAAATGTATCTCAGGCCCTGGCCTCATATCACTCAGCTCACATATGGCCCTCGGCCGCACTCAGTCATATCATTACAAGCCCCTCGGGCATTAGTAAAACAGTAGTTCTCAGCCCAAAATATCATTTAGAAATATCATTTAAGTTTCAAATCTGAGCAAAAGGTGGCAGAGTTTGTAAAACAGTAGATATCAACAGGATTGAGTTCAAGTAATAAGTCAAAACAGTGAGGAAATAGTGATAAAAATCCCCGAAGGGTTCAAATAATTGGCACGAAGCGCAAATATGGCAATCAGCCCAAATCATGATGATAACAAACAAGTTCCAGTCAAATACGCAGTAAAATCATCAATCGGGACGGCCCGAGTCGCAAATCCCCAGTAGTAAAAGACCCCACGCTCATCATCCAGCGCGTGTCTCACCTCAATATAGCACTACGATGTGCAATCCGGGGTTTCAAATCCTCAGGATATCATTTACAATCATTACTCACCTCGAACCGGCGAAATCTCTAGCTCGCAACGCCTTTGCCCCGCAAATTGGCCTCCATGCGCGTCGAATCTATCCAAAATCAGAACGAATACATCACAATATGCTAAGGGAACAAAGCCCAAGCGAAAACAATCAATAACGGGCACAAATCCTGAAATTACCAAAACCCGAGCCCCGGATCCACTTCTCGAAACTCAGAATTTTTTACATCATTAGATTCCTCGTCTCCCCACGAGTTCATACATATCAAACATACTAAAATCGGAGTCCAAATGACCCCTCAAATCCCCATTTAAAGGCCTCTTAAACTCAAGCCCTAATCCTCCATTTTGTCCTTTAGTTCCTTCAATTACAGCCCTAAATTCATGAAATACAACCATAAAATTGAGTTTTAGGTCCAAAATTCCTTACCTTAACGAAGTCTCTTGATTTCTCTCTTCAGAATCTCCCAAAAAGCTCCAAGGTCGAAGGCAACCATGGTGAAATAACCCAAAATCGCGAAATGAAATAACATATATGGTCTGCCCAGGCCTTTTCGCATCTGCGGCCCAAAACCCGCTTCTACGGTACCGCATGTGCGGTCAAATCCTCCGCTTCTGCGGTTCTTCACATGAAACCCAAAATCGCATCGGATTCAAGCTTAAGTTTCTAAAAATCTTCCGAAATACGCTTTTGATCAAAAACCCAACCAAACCACGTCCGAATGACCTGAAATTTTGCATGCACATCCCAAATGACATAATGAAGCTACTGCAACTCTCGGAATTTCATTCCGACCTTAATATCAAAATCTCACCTATCAACAGGAAAACGCCGAAATCTTAATTTCGCCAATTCAAGCCTAAACCTTCCACGGACTTCCAAAATGCATTCCGATCACGCTCCTAAGTCCCAAATCACCTAACGGAGCTAACTAAATCATAAAAATTTCGATCCGAAATCATATACAAACAAGTCAAATCTTGGTCAAACCTTTCCAATTTCAAGCTTTAAACTGAGAACCGTTCTTCCCATTTCATTCTGATTACCCTGAAAACCAAAACCAACGATTACATGAGTCATAATACACCATACGGGGCAAGTCATGCCTGGGAACTGACGAACAAAGTGTAAAAACTCAAAACAATCGGTCGGGTCGTTATATCCTCCCCCACTTAAACATTCGTTCGTCCTCGAACGTGCCCAGAGTTGTTCCAAAAGCCGACCCAATTGCTGAATAACCTTACCATGCACATACCCGGGGGTGATCCCACGTCACCCTATCTCATATAGCTCTGATACCAACTTGTCACGACCCAAACCCAGACCCGGTCGTGATGGCGCCTCTCGTGGGGACAAGGCCAGCCAACTAAACCCGATTCATCCTTTTAAAACAATTAAACAGTTCATAGGCAGTTTAAATATGATTTAATGATAATAATTAGTGGAAATACAACCCGGCACAGCCCAAACCGGGGTGTCACAAGTCACGAGCATCTATTAGAGTATAAATACAACTACAAGGTCTGAAATATGCGAAATAGGACTAATAAACAAAGGGAGAAAAAGCGGTGTTGCGAACGCTGGTAGTCACCTTGCTAACTCCGATAACTCTGCCTCCGCTCAGTCAAAACCCACTATCGGGTGCAAAAATACCTGCATCTGCACACACGGTGCAGGGAGTAAAGTGAGTACTCCAACTCAGTGAGTAATAATGGTAAATAACAACTGAGCAGTAAGAAATCACGTAAAGCAAACCAACATGCTGTATAGAAGCAGTGTAAAACCCTTTGAGAAAAGCAGTGAAGCTGTGAAATCTTTAGAAATATCTTAGCTCAGCTTAAACTCTTTTGAAAATGACTTTTTCAACAGTTACGCAATGAATGCAAGCACCGAAAATCTGCCCCTCGGGCACAAATATCACAGTATAACAGGTAAAATGACCAGTAAATATGAAAGATGAACACATAAAGGTCCGCCCCTCGGGCACATATCTCAAAACAATACCAGCTCCTCGGGCTCACTCTCAGAATCGTATCAGCCCCTCGAGCTCACTCTCAGCCCCTGGGGCTCACTCTCAGATCAATGGGTACATGCGCTCACTGGGGGTGTGCAGACTCCGGAGGGGCCCCTTACGCCCAAGCGCTATATCAAGCCACCTCGTGGCATCATCTCTCGGCACTCGGCCTCACATCACTCGGCGCTCGGCCTCACATCACTCAAGCCACCTCGTGGCGTATAAATGTATCTCAAGCCCTCGGCCTCATATCACTCAGTGTATCCTCACATATGACCCTCGGCCGCACTCAGTCAGATATCATCACAAGCCTCTCGGGCATTAGTAAAACAGTAGTTCTCAGCCCAAAACATCATTTAGAAATATCATTTAAGTTTCAAATCTGAGCAAAAGGTGGCTGAGTTTGTAAAACAGTAGATATCAATCTGAGCTTAGGTTATTGTTGCTTGCGTGGTCAAGATAGCAAGATAGAAAGATTCGCTTAAATTCATACCTATAAGCGCTCGTGACTTTCCGATGATAGTCACTTCGCTTTCCTTTTATACTGAAAAAGGAAAACAGAAAGATTGAGCATAAAAAAATATAGAGAATGAGCTATTACGTGCAAACAATGGAAATTCAATAATAAGAGTCTGATCTTCTCGCTTAAGAATATGTGATTCCTCTGGAGTGAAGTTGTTGGGGGGAAGCGAAGATGAGGAAGCTAGTTTAATTGAGGAAGCCACTTTCTTTAATGTATACTAGCTGGTCTACAAAAGCATGACGCATGACGCTTCTCCTTTTTTTAGTCCACTCTCCCTTAGAAAACGGAGCTGTTTGAAAGCAGATTTCGAAATTACATAGGTGAATGTAGAGATCACCGGTGTCCTACTCGAGATGAAGTACTTGTCGTCCCCAAACCAAAAGGGATGAGGGAAAAAGGCTCGAGAAAGCATCCTTGGAAGGGGGAATATCTGAAAAAGTGTTAGCGGGGAGCCCATCCCTCTCGTTCTAACAAAAGACATAAGGGGGAATACACGACGGACGGAAAGCGGGAAACATCCTTTTTCTGTCTTCTCTCCATAGAGGAAGGAAAGCACCGTCAAGCCAACAAGAAAGCAGAAACTGCATGAGGTAAGACTAAGGGCCTTGTGCGCCCTGCAAGAGATTATCGGGGGTCTCGGTACCAGGGGGGCGCGAGAACAAGAAACTCCAGTAAATAAAAGAAAGACAATAGGAGTCCTCTAAATAGCCGAGGGCCCACTTACCTATATGCGCTTACGGAAGGGGAAAAGCTTGATTCTCAAAGATTAGACAATACATATGTGCAAACAAGAAAATCAAACTATCTTCTTATTGATACTATATATTTATCCTTTCCCCTATAGATCCACCTTTCTTCAAAATAAAGATATAGCAACTAAAAGAAAGCTAAATCGAACCGGAATAGGATAAAGAACGCACGAAGGATCAGAGAGAAAGAGGATTCTAAAAGCGAAAAGCCTAGAAGACTAGATTGTCAGACTCGGAGGTAGCAGTAAGATCTCTGTCTCCAGAGAAGGCATGAGGATTTTCTAAAAGTCTCCTCTCATTACTTATGGATAAAGCTCTTAAGCTTAAGCTTTTACGAACTGTAAGATCTTCCCATTCTAAATAAGAATGAGAGTCTTTCAACTAGATGTGCTCCTTTGGCTGGGTTTGAGAGAGAGAGCATGAGATAATTGGTCTAATAACTAGTCCAACTTCCTTGTATCTGAAAGCGATGACAGGATGTTAGGTCTAGTAAGGAGACTTTTTGGATAATTTACTTCCACGAATAGACTGTTAGGCTAAGAAGAATAGGTTGGGATTGATCCCACCTTTGAAAGAGTGGTTTTGTTCTGTCAATACAGCTTATCGAGTTATCAAGCTGAACTGCCTTCTGTAAGGAGCTTGAATCGTTCGTTTACTCTAAGTCTTATTACCGACGCGATGGATTGCTATTTGAAAACACTTTCAATACAAAAAGAGCTCCTTCCGGCTATACTCTAGTTGGACAGTCTTAGTTCAGTTTGAGAAGTCAAGGAGGCACGAAGAGCTAACAAAGAGTCTTTATATTTGACTGTCCGAAATCAAGTGGGAGATTGAATTGAAAAGGCCCCTTACTATAGATAGGGTGTTAGCGCTGTTTTTTGAAATAAGGACGTTTAGGTTTGACTAATAAGATAGAAAGGGGCAAGCCAAAACCCACTCTGCTGAGTTCGGCTTTCGGGGCTACCTACTTTAGGGCTTATGTAATATATAAAGAAGAACCCTCTTAGGCCTTTTTGTTTAAGGGCTGCTCGCCTTTTGAATAGAAGGAAGTGGGAGAGCAGAGGTTATTTCGGTAAACCGATGCATGAGCTGAGGCTCCCATGTCCCGCCGACCCTCCGAAAAAGTAAGGGCTCATAGGGAGTCAGAAGCAAGCAGAGTAAAAGGCGGGTAAAACTCACATAAGCAGAGGGGGAGACACATTCATGAAAAGCGAGAAGCCCTGCCGTGGGGGACTGACCAACTATGAATAGATCTTACTTATGCTTACGGGTAAGAACATATATTAGTCCGTATCGTGGGTCTATTTGTTACAAAAGGCGAACATCCCCTTTCCAAAACATTAACATAGGTCCTCAGGCAGACATCGAAAAGGGGGCGAAAAGAGTCTATTTACCTTTACAATATTTCGGAATGTATCATGGCTCTATCTATTCATTAAAAAAAAAAAAAAAGAGTTCTGCATCTCGGGTGAACAAATAGGCGTGGGGAAGAGTGAGAGGGGGGGCTACGAGCCCTCTCTCGTTGTTGTTCCCGGACCACCCATCTCTTCCTTCCCCTTCGCCCGGCCCGGTGAGATCAGATTTCTAGAACGAAGTGAAGTGATAGGAAGAGAAGACTGCTGGCGGGAAATCCCTATTCATGAAAGCCCCTTGTAAAGGGGAAAACGAAAGTGTGCTCCTGCGCACCAGCTGAAGAAAGGAGCTTTGGAAGCTTACCTTATTATTATATTAAAAGGGGAAAGGGTGGAAAACCTATCTGACTAATAAGAAGAAAGGGGCAAGCCAAAACCTACTCCTAACAAGTTGCTGGATCGAAGTAGTACATTATACATCTGCCCGCCAGCAGCGGAGGGGGTTCGATTCCCGTTATACGCGATGTGGCGAAAAAGACTGATTCAACGAGATATGCCTTGCCTGCATTAAGATTTAAAACTTGTCGTCTACTTTCAGGAAATGTTTGGAACAGAGAACTTACAATAATACAACGCCGTATTCTCCGAAGATTGAGGAACAAGAAGAGATCTATTAAGAGAAAGATTTATTCTAGAGAAAATCTTAACAGTTACATCCAATCACAAACTACACGAAAGTTGTCCCTTTTTTATGGAGATTTACCCATCACAGAGATGCACAGAGGAAGAGAACGAACTTCATATATCCCTTTTCTACTCAATCCAGAAACAAGATCGGACGTTATCCCGGTTCGTCTCCATTTTTGTGAAACTATTCCTCAAGCAAGGCTGCCGATAAGTCATAGAAGGGTTTGTGTGAATAATGGAGTGGTTAACATTACTCATTTTAAACTCTCCCATGGTGATATAATATCTTTTCAAGAAAATGATGCGAGAACCCGCGGTGAAGAAATAAAGAGATCCTTCTATATCGAAATCTCAGTTGAAAAAATAATAGGAAAATTCCTGGATCACCCGTGGAGAAGAACCAAAACAGAATGGTTCCGCCTACTCAAAACTAAGAGGGGATGCCGCCTACTACTAAAATCCCGGTTTTTGCAACAGTTGCGTTCTTCTATGCAAGAAGAAGACTTAGAAAGAACAAAGAAGTTTGGATCCGAAAAAGTATGCTTAGGCAGTTCTTTCGCTGAGCACAACAGAATGAAGAGGAATTTGTATCATTTCAAATCCCTATTCTTATCGAAGAGAAGGAACGAGAAAAACCGAAATATTCCTACTCGAACAAGAAGTCCTATAGTTTACAACTCTTCTTTATATAGTAATTCGACCTATTGCTCCGCATCCCCCCATCAGTTTACTAAAAAGATCAAAATAAAAAGGATCGAACTACCTACTCATTATTCGGAGGTGAATCATAGAACACCAAAAGCTGTGGTATCTTATGGACCTAACATAGGTCACATACCTCACGACATAAGATTGAAAGATCCAAACCTTCTTCTTCGGAGCGGAAAGGGACGTGGCCAAAACATATAAAGATCGGCGTAGTCGCTCATAGGGACATATCTATCCGGATAGAGGATAGTCTAGGCCGATTCATAGATAGATCTCTCTCCATATAGATAGGTATCTCCGTGGATAGAGATAAAGATAGGGATCCATCTAGATCTTGATTCACTATTTCCATATTTTTTCTTGATTCTGATTGATTGCCTTTTTTTTGACGACAAGTTTTAAATCTTAATGCAGGCAAGGAAACATCGTTTTTCAATTATTACTTGCTGGGTCGGAGCGTAGACGAGCGAGCAGAGCCAAGGAAAGAGGGAAGCCCGTCATAGAGCAGTCGACTAGAAGTAGAAGACTGCTGGCCTGAGAGAAGGCGGCCTCTCTCGGGAAAGATGGCCCAATTTCTCTTCTTTCTTTTTGATTTCAGCTTTCTTTTTTTTTTTTTTCAGGGGTCCAGAAGGCTAAAAGGTGGGGGAGAAGGAAGCCGAACCTCTAATCGACCTGGACACATAAATAATTCTCGGCGTCGAGAGAGATTTGAGATTCCGTAAGTAACTCAGTGAGTGCTTTCTAAGAAGGGCTTGGAAGAAGAAAATGAAATAGGAACAACCGCGCTGGTCGTAATAGATCGACTTTCATGCTAGTTCTTGCTCCAGCATGAAAGTTCCATTTCAGGGAAGGACGACGTACTATGATACTTTCTGTTTTGTCGAGCCCTGCTTTGGTCTCTGGTTTGATGGTTGTACGTGCTAAAAATCCGGTACATTCCGTTTTGTTTCTCATCCCAGTCTTTCGCAACACTTCAGGTTTACTTCTTTTGTTAGGTCTCGACTTCTTCGCTATGATCTTCCCAGTAGTTTATATAGGAGCTATAGCCGTTTCATTCCTATTCGTTGTTATGATGTTCCATATTCAAATAGCGGAGATTCACGAAGAAGTATTGCGCTATTTACCTGTGAGTGGTATTATTGGACTGATCTTTTGGTGGGAGATGTTCTTTATTTTAGATAATGAAAGCATTCCATTACTACCAACCCAAAGAAATACGACCTCTCTGAGATATACGGTTTATGCCGGAAAGGTACGAAGTTGGACTAATTTGGAAACATTGGGCAATTTACTTTATACCTACTATTTCGTCTGGTTTTTGGTTTCTAGTCTTATTTTATTAGTAGCCATGATTGGGGCTATAGTACTGACTATGCATAGGACTACTAAGGTGAAAAGACAGGATGTATTTCGACGAAATGCTCTAGATTCTAGGAGGACTATAATGAAGAGGACGACAGACCCACTCACGACAATAAGGAGAAGCAGTGGTTCGAATCCACATCGTGAGACCAGGACAGTGTGGAGAAGCATCGATAAATGCTATTAACATTGATGATACGGCTTAGAGGAATTCCTCTCTTGCTGCCGGACTGATTCCTTTCCTTTTGATGTGGACAAATGGGCATCCCTAGAATCAGCTGCTCTCCTTCCTGTTGGAGGAAGACAATGCGAATAAATTCATATATTAGTAAGGCAAGGTGATTGTTCGTTGACAACATTGGGGCGTAGCGGATTGACTATTGGGATCTCTTTAGCTTTAGTATGACTATTACTATAGGCGCTGGAGTCAGCTTGTCTGAGTATGTAAACTATGTGGTGGATACGATAACAAATAAGCCTTCTACATCAGCCAATTCTTCTTCCATGAGGGACTTCAATGAAGCAAGATTTTTTGATTTCCCGTTCATCGTATCGACCGACCCAGACCCCGTACCTGTCCCTGATGAAAGTCAGGATGAAACCTGCTTTCATTCAAAACTAACTCACTCTAAGGAAAAGAGAGCTTTGCGAAAGTTTAAAAAGGAATTGAGTGAGCTCTCGCCTAAGGGAAGAGTTTAATAAAGCGGAGAGGGATTTTCCGACAACAAAAAAGCTTTTCTCCCCAACCGAGGTGATAGACCACCTTATGGCCGATGTGATTACCAGCCAAAGGGCAAAAAGACGGGGTTGAATGCGACTCTACCAATACCAATCTCCTCTGGAGCAAGGAAAAGCAACTCTGCCTGGTATCGGTAACGATTAACATATTCTTTTTTTTAAGAGAGGGGAACCCTTACTTAAGAACAGAGAGTGGCCGAGCAAAAAAGCAAGGCAAGGGATAAAGGAGAAGTACCCGGCCCGGCCCGGCAAAGAAGGGTCTCCCATTAACAGGTTTTTCCTTAGTAAGCTAGCTTTGGTTGCTAAGCAAGCCAGGTTCTCTTTCACTCCTGGAATGAGCCTTTTGGCGACTCTCTCTCAACACAAAGAAAGAAGAGATGAAAGGATCTTCAAGTAGCCCTGACTAAGGTTTGAAAAGATTCCCGGGGGTACTACAGCTTGCGTGGAAGGCTAGGGTGGTTTTTAGAAAGCGCGAAGACAGAAGACGTCGTAGGGAACCAATTTCTATCGCTTTCCCCCTCTAGTGGTCATTCATTCTTTTGATGACTCGCAGTCGAAAGAGTTGGTTGGCAGTTCAAACCTCAGAGGGAGTTGAAGAGAGGCCTTTCAGTTCGTTCAAAGGCACTAGGGACGAGCCATTACAGACGGTCTGATGCTTCTGGAGTTCGCTCATATCGAATTGTCCAAAAGCTCATCAACCTGTCCGAGGGATGATGAAGGCGATGCCACAATTGAGGGAACCGCCCTCTTAC